TGAGCAAACTCAGGGAGGCAGTGAAGAACAGGAAGGCCTGGCGCAATATGGTTCATGGAGTCACGAAGAGTCGGACATGACGTAACGACTGAACAACAACAAACTCAAATGGGCTAACTTACAGAATGCATCCAAAATCCAGCACCTATGACTTCCCTTTAATTGAAATTGAGGAAATTTGTGGCCGCCTCAGTACTGCTGTGGTGCTGCACCACCATTGTCACCCCAGGTCACATGATTGTCATGGGTGTATCCACAACCTCTTCCCTGCCTCTGTCTGTCCCCTCCACCCAATCAGCTGGCAGCAAGGCCCAACAGGCAAGTGGCAGTTGGCTGCTTTGGAACTGAGGCTGAAATTTGAAATAAGGGAGTTAGTCAGATGCCTGCTGGCAAGGTGCTGTTGGCGGTCGACAGGTCAGTGCTCTTCCTCCCTCAAAGGAAGGGCCCCTTGGGGACACACTGGAATGGAAAGTGGGGTGGAGTTTTCCTTGCAGTCTGCAGCTCCCTTCCTTCCATCTCCCCTCAGCAAAGTGGCAGGCAGTTCTGTGGATCAGCTGAGGAGGAGGAGGAAAAGGATCGGGAGGAGGAGGCAGCTTCACAGGCACTCTTCTGAGGGTTTTGAGGGGAGGGCAAATGGTACAAGCCTATATGTAAAGGGATGGAGGGGGACGGAAGATTTCTGACGCACCCTGCCAGCTTCCCTCAAGCAAATCCAATGGGGAATCTGGCAGCAAATCGCAAGTCACTCAGAGTCCCACTACTTTTTTGCTGTTGGTCATTCTGTTTCTCTGTTTAGTTAAGGAAATATCTCTGAAACAATGACCCAATGGGTCACGGGTTGTCTAGTTTCAAATGAAAAAGAGATGTGTGATTGCAGTTTTAACTTTTAAAAACATTGACAGAGTTCCCAATTCTCTTCCCTCATCTCCTTAGAAGTCCTGTTCTTTACTATTAACAGGTGAACACGAGAGGCTGAATTAATTATAAAGTATCTTCATTTGCAGGAGAG